TCTAGTTTTACAACTAGCAACAAGTAGTATCTTGTATAATCGATTGTTTCCGGCCAGAGGAAATCAGAAGTCAGACGAGAAGAGGCAGGAAAGATATATTTGATACGTTACCAATATATCGAGGAACCTTTACTATAAGCTGGCTATAAAACCTAGAAGCAGTGTCCCACGCCGAGTTGAAACGTGATCTGGTGCGGATGCATGACCGAAAGCCTTCAGCTAAACAAGTCCACTTAAACAACGTGGTCAGCATCCAATGTCGAACACCTACAGAGCTATTGATTTTGGGGAATTATTTACAGCTACATACTGAAGAGTGAAGGCGGTTTTGGTAAAATGCAGCTTGTCGATTTGTTACACAACACGGTTTCTTAACTGCGTTCAAAATGCTTCTACAATGAATAAATATTGGCAAACTAGCATTGAATGGTGGGCGAGAAACCAAAAGCAATAGACATTAAATAGACATTAAATAGAGATAATATATTTGTAAAATCTCAGCGAATGAATTTTTTAATTAAATCCAACGTTTCGCCTGGCAATCTGGTCCAAGCTTTTTCAAGGAATTACATCAACTCGGCGCTCAAATACTGTGAAACTATTCGCTCTAATTTAGACGAGAGTTTTTATATAAATATGAATAAACTTTGAATATATTTAATACCACGGATTTCAGTTTCAGTTTCAGCTTGGAAAGGACAGGAGGCTTGGTGGCCTGTGTTAGTCCTGGCAATGATGGTCTCTCAGCTGATCCAACTTTCTTTTGAAGGAGTCGACGGATGGAGCCTCAACCACGTGCTGAGGTAATGAATTCCACTCGTTGATTATTCGATGGGAAAGTCGGTAGTCAGCTGACAAGTAATTCGTTCTGGGCTTGCGAACTTTTTTGGAGTGTCCTCGTAGATTTTCTGTTTTGGAAGACAAGAAAAATGAGGGCATATCAGGTGCAAATTTGTCATTAAGCAATTTGAAAACTATAATCAAGTCACCTCTGATTCTTCTATATGACAGCGGGAATAGGTTTAGCTTGGTCAGTCTAGTACCATACGGGAGCTTCGCTATTCCGAGAATCAGCCTAGTTGCTGTTCTCTGAACCCTTTCCAAGAGTTCGCTGTCTTTTTTTGGCAGGGGTTAGCTGCTTGTATACAGTACTCAAGTTTAGGACGTACGAACACTGTATACAAAGTCAAAAACGTTTTAGCGTCAAGATGCCTAAAAGCCCTGCGTATGGACCATAAAGTCCTGAAACCTTTGGCGGCTATTGCACGGCAGTGTGCAATAGTCTTTAAGTCTTGACTGACGATGACGCCTAAGTCGTTGTGTGCCTGAACAATAGGTAACTCAGTGTTATTCATCGTGTATGTATCTGTACCCTGATGGCCAATATGCATCACAATACACTTGGAAGTGTTTATCGGCAATTGCCAGGTTTGGGACCATTCAGATAATCTCTCCAGGTCATTTTGAAGTTCTAAGCTATCGCTCTTGCTTTGTATCGCTCTCCATATCTTGACATCATCAGCATAGAGTAAGACCGATGACGATAGTAGACGAGGGAGATCATTTACGTACAGGAGAAATAACACTGGCCCCAAAACTGTACCCTGGGGGACTCCACTAAGCACAGTTTCCCAGCTAGACAACTTGGAGTTCACCCTTACTCTTTGTTGACGTCCAACTAGGAAGTCTTTTATCCACATCAATAGATTGCCTCCAATCCCGACGTTTCTTAGCTTATATAACAGCCGGTTATGCGGAACTTTGTCGAAGGCTTTGCTGAAATCGATGTAAGCTACGTCTATAGGTAATTTTTGGTCCTTAAGAGCGCACCAGCTTTCACGAGCGACTAATAAGTTTGTGAGACAAGAGTAACCTGTTCTAAAACCATGCTGCTTTTCGGAGAGGATCCGGTTTTCATCGAGATACTTTAACAGTTCCTTCCGAATAATCTTTTCTAAGATTTTAACAACCACACTAGTTAGGCTAATTGGTCGGTAATTCTCAGGCTTATGTTTTGTACCTGTTTTGAAGACTGGACTTACTATGGCGTTCTTCCAGTCTTTTGGTAGACGACCCTGGGTTACGGATAGATTGAAACATACACTTAAAGGGTTCGCAACAAAGTTAGCTAATTCCTTTAGTAACCTAGGATGCAGTTCATCGGGTCCAGTGGATTTACCTATGTCAAGCTTAACTAGCAGACCAAAGACATCGAGTTCTTTAATGGTTACGCTGTCCAGTGCTTGTGTGGGGGGATTTTCATGGACTGGTGAGAAGGGTGTTTCTATGGTGTATACATCGCTAAAGTATTTAGAGAATACTTGAGCTTTGCCAAAGTCATCCTCCACTAGTGATGTGGCAGTACTGTCTCCCCATAATGAAGGAACATTTCTTCTTCTTTTTGTCCTTTGGTTTATATACGAATACAAGCGTTTAGGGCATTCTATGGATTCCCTTACGATTTTCTCTTCGTACAGCTTTCTGGCCTTACGGAGGGTCGAGGCACAGGTATTTCGAGCCTTTTGATACTGAGATCTCGCCTCGTCAGTCCCCAGTAACCTAAATCTATCCCACATTTTCCTTCTTTTAGGGAGAAGGATGCGAACCTCCCTACTGAACCACGGTGGGGAGTTTCTCGGTCTCTTAGGTGTAGTCCAAGGGATGTGGGGGGCGGTAACTTTTAAGTATAAATTCCGGAATACGTCCTAAGCCATTTTCATTGATGACTCTTGGTCTAATTTCCAATCTACTAATGATGCTGATTTCATGATGTCTGCTATGTTTGCTTTCCAGACGTTAGGTCTGGATTGAGCTGAAGCGTACTCGTGATCGACAGTTATATGGAAGTCAAAGCTTAAAACTGCATGATCACTTTTGCCTAGGGGTGGCATGTAATCCAGGTTTGCAACATCATCCTCATAATGAGTCAATATAAGATCTAGTAAGGATGATGCAGAACCCGGGTCGTACCTAGTTGCTTCCTTCACGTGTTGCACTAGAGCACAAGTGATTATCGCATCAACTAGTTCCTGTTCGAAGGAGTTTGCTGACGATTCAGTCCGAAGATTTCCCCAGTCCACCATGGGTGCATTGAAGTCCCCTAAGATTAGACATCGATCACTTCGTGATAAAGTGTTGAGACTGCTTAGCAGGACCTCGTTTGCCTCACAGCTTGGACTGCGATAGATCAAACTAAGTAGTAACTCTTGTCCCCTGCATTTCAGGCGGCAGCAAACTAATTCATACGTCCCACTCTCATGGGATACACTGTCGATAATGGTGAATGGAATAGCATTCCTAATGAATAGAGCTACTCCCCCTCCTTTACGCGTTTATATTCTATCGGCCCTTACCAATGTAAAACCCTCGAAATCAAGTTCCCTACTATCTATAGACGGCGTCAGCCATGTTTCTGTGACTGCGATTATGTCTGGCCTAGTTGAGTCAATCTGTACACCTAGTTCCGGTAGCTTATTTAGTAAGCTCCGGGCGTTGGTATAACAGATCCGAAGCCTATTTAGGTGGCCTCGTGCTTCACCCAGAGTGGCTTCGGCATCATCCTCTGTCGAAGCCTCACAACCCGAAAATTTACAATTTTCAGGTCTTTTTCGCCAGCGTCTAATCTGAGCTGTAGTTCCTTTTCGGCTTCCCGTCTTTTAACACGGTCCGCCAACGGTAAGTCCTTACGGAGAAAAACTCCCGAACCCTTTAATTTGTGTCCATTTTCTAAGATTAAGCCGCGTTCGTTTGGGGATTTGAAAACGACTTTGAGTAGTCTAGACTGATTTGGTTTCAGATGCGCTAGATTTCCTAATCTATACACCTTTAGCAAGGTGACTCCGGGGATGTTTTTGGGCATAACTTGGTTGAGTAGTTGTTTTATCAACACAATGTCATGCTCAAAACGAGCTTTCGGTTCTAAGTTGTCACTCTCCTTGACTCTATGGAGAATGACTGATCTGTCGCTGTGATCAGACCTCGGCTTATCGACCCTTTTGGTGGGGGTATGACTTCCTTTTACGTCATTTTGGCGTTTTTTTCTTACGACCCGTACCCAATCGCCAACGTTCTTTGGAGTGGTAACCACATTCGCGTCAGGCGTACTGTGGGATTCCGGAAGAGTCAGGACGACTTGGGAGATCGGGTCATCTTTCGCGCTGGAAACCGATCGAGCCTTGCGGTTTCGGCTTCCTGAAGTTCCCTTCTGGGTACCATTTTTGATACGAGGGACAGAAGAGACTTTTTTGCGCGAGTTTCTGGTTGTAACAGTCCTCTTTGGAGGATGTTCTTCCTCCTTAGTAGGGTGTGGGTCGGCAGTTTTTGGACTCACTTGGGCCTGCCTTGTGTCAGTCTGCGTGTCGACAGATTGAGTTCTGACTGATGTATCCCGACCGCGCTTGCCGAGACACTTTTTTGCGGCATTTACTATTGAAATGGCCTCGGTTAGCAGGCTATTTGCATCCAAACAGCACTGTTGACATAGCCATACACATCCATTTTTACTAAACCGCTTGAAAGCTGCAGGTGTTAGATTCGTGCAAACATCGTGGTACCAACCTTTGCACTCATCGCACTGCATGCCGCTATCAACAGGATATCGACATCCTGGGCGGTGGCAAATGCTATTGTTGCATCTTCCAGTCATTTTAAGATGCGAAAGTGAGTGTTGACTATAAGTAGAAAAAAAAAACTATAAACAGTTAGGACCAAAGTACTAACAGACACAATGGAAAGAAAAAAAGGTACTCTGGAGTACCGACGATAAAACTATTTAGGATACCAAAGATGATACTCTAATAAAATACTTTAACTGAAAGAAATTCAATCAAAGTATAAAAACAGTAGTCTTGATACGTTAATAACGATCAAAACAATAGAATTTACTCAACGAGGAAAAATACCACTGTCCTTTTTTAAATAGTGCGCGAAATTTTTAAAAATAAGCATTTCTAACAATGTGCAGTGTTTCACAAAGAAATTTTAAAATAAAACCCAATGGTCTGAACTTTACTGAGTGAAAGTTTAGTGTACTACTCTTGGTCCTCGTGTTCAAATATGTTGTTTATCTGGACGAATGCTCATTGTCTGCTGAGGTTTTCGAATGCGGAAAATATGGATAACTCGTTTATGATGGAAGGCCCTTTAAGCAAATGGACCAATGTCGTTAATGGCTGGCAATATCGTTGGTTTGTGCTTGACATAAGCCTAGGGGTTTTATCTTATTACACGGTTAGTTTTTTAAATTTCGCGATCTCTCAGTTTTTTCGAAAGACAAAGAATATCACACTCAGAGAAATGGTACAGCGCGTGTATTCTTGTCACTTTTAAGCCGGCTATCCAGCCTTTCCAACATATTGCTTTTTATGCATCTTCAATCAAATGTGCACACTTTTGACGAGGGTGACGAGAACATTTTCCAGTTTTTGTGTTATGTATGTCCATGTTAACCCTATATATATACAGCGTATACGCTGTTGGTTCTGCAGATTCAGATATACGTAATGAGGGTAGAACGCCTACAGCATATGTTATTCTTTTCCTAGTGTGATTCTGTGAGTGTCTAATCTACCACTGCTTTGAGTAACAGGTTTAAAGAATCAATATGTGAAAACCTGTATGCCACGGGTATTTTGTTCGTTTGTGGCTCTCCTACTCGCCTGCTTTGCTCTTTGAAATGTTTCGATCTACTGGGAAAAGTAAAGGATATATTAAGTTCACAATCATCTCTTAGTTTTCTATACTTCAAAATCAGATCACTTCTTAATTTCCAATAGGATAGAGTAATAAGTTTAGTTATTCAAGCTGCTCTTTGTATGGTAGACCATGGAGTTCTTGAATTACACAGGTAACTGTCATCTGTACGTTTTTCAGAATATCCGGGTCACCTTTGAAACGAGCTTCCAGCCTGGACGCAGTTTTTAAGCTTAGTTTTCACTAAGATTGTGTATACTGTAGTAGTATCCAAATTAATGAATGTCCATCTTAAAGCCCGTAGGGTTCTAAACCCCTTAGCTGCAACCTCAGGGCAGTGGATTGTGGTCCTAAAATCATAACTCACTGTCAACCCAAGATACTTGTAAGACAGGACCATGGGTACAGACACTTCCGCTATGCTGTACCAATTCACCTTTGTATCCCCACAAAGCATGTAAACACAGTATGCGCGTTGACAGGCATCAGCCACTCTTTAGATCAGCTGATCGCTATATGTCTGCTTGAAATGCGCATGCATCTGCATGACCCGTTAATTCCCGCCAGATTTTTACATTGTCAGCGTATAATAACATTGGCGACTCATCTGTGCTTGGGAGTTCACTTACATACAGTATAATAAGTAAATGACCTAAGACAACCTTGCGGTACTTCACTAAGTATTGGTTTTCGGGTGGAGCACTTCGAATTTATTCTAACTTTCTGTCTACAACCTACTGGGACGTTTTTAAGCCATTTTAGTAGGGGTTCGGCAATGCCAAGATTCTCTAGCCTCAATAGCAGACTATTTGTTAGCACATTGCTTTGCTGAAATCTATGTAGACAACATCCATTGATTTTCCATTACCTAGAGCCTTTATCCATTTCTCCCTCGCTATAAGGTTTGCTGTGCAAGACAAGCCTTTGCTGAAACCATGCTGTTCTCTGTGAAGCTTACAGGTCTGTAGTTCGATGAAAGTTGTCTTGGTCCTGTTTTATATATTGGAGTGACAGTTGCATCCTTCCAGTCCGTAGGTAACACACCTTGGCCAAGTGACATATTGAATACCACAATTAGTGGGGCTGCAATATATTGTGCAATATGTCTCAGGATTTTGGAGTGTAGTTCATCTGGTTCTGTTGACTTTTCCGTGTTTAAGGTGCTAATGACCTTAAGTACATCGTCTCGGTCAAAGTCCACAGTGAGCAAATGGTTTGTTGACTTTGTATTTGGGTCTAGTTCTTCGTCCAGAATAAGCTCTTGAGTGAAGACTGTTCCCAAATAGCTTCTCATAGCCTCTGCTTTTTCTGATCATCCTCTATCATTTCAGATCCACTTTTTTCGATAATTAGGCTGGAAACCCAATGCTGCATCCTTGTTCTGTAATTTATGCATGAGAATAGTCTCCTGGTTGCAGATTGTACCGACTGCATTTCATATTTTTTCTGAGCTTCCCGGATTTTAATTATAAACTTATTTCCTACGGATCTCTAGCGTTCCATAGTATTTACTGTGCCAAGGCTAATGGAAACGTTCCAAAATTTCTTTTGTCTTAGTAAACGAATATATCGGCCCATCCAGGGATGGCCATTCTTCGTTTTTGATACTGTTCAGGGTACATATGGTTGGGTTACCCGATTGTATAACTGTCAGAAATGAGTTCATGCCTTTTCTACTGATGCACAGAGTCAATAATCCAGTTTTCAGCCGATGCTGCAGAGTTTACCGCCTCCAAGTCTGTCTTCCATATGTTGGGACGGGCCGGCGCAACTGTTTGACAGGCCATCTCAGCCATGAACTTGAATAAGGTAACTGCATGATCACTTCTCCCTAGAGGTGGGAGGAAAGTCATTTAACTGACATCATCACCGTGTGTGAAGACCAAGTCCAAAAGAGACGAGGCGCTTCGTAATTGGTATATGGTGGGATCTCTATTGTGCTATAATAAAGCTAGTGCAATTGTGGTTCTTAGTAATTTTCAATCAAGTGACGTTGTCGATGACCTTACTTCTAAGTTTATCCAGTTTATGTATGGTGCATTAAAGTTTCCTACTACAAGCTTTTACCCCTATTACACCAGAACTTAAGTTTGCTTAGGAGAAAATCATGTACACATTCTGGACTATGGCATACTACAACTAGTTCAATGTCTAGCCATCTACGTTTCAGCCTGCGACGCACCAGTTCACATGTCTCTGAATCATGTGCCACTGTAATGTAAACTTCTAACTCTTGCTTTTTGTGTTAATTGCTTACTAGATCTTTGTTAGTGTAATCTAGATTGGATAAAGCATTTTTCGAGCAGTATTGCATTGGGGCATGTTGATTGGCTAAGTAATAGCCAACCAATCCTAGCAGGTACTTGGAGAAGACTCTAAAAGCTTCTTGTGTAAAACTACAAATATACTAACGCTTTTTATATAATGCTTCCTACTTCTATTCAGCCTTGTTTATTTGGAATATAATCACGTTCTTGTTCAACCGTGTTCTGATTTGGGGACTTGTCAATTTCCTTTTCAGGTACCCCCAGGAGAACCCTTCCACGGTGTGGGCAACCGGGAAGTGATAACTGCCCTCATACCTCTAACAGCACTCAAGACCACCGTATTCATAATCAATCTCCTTCAATTCCTACTATTCCTTCTACCTTGACTTTCAACGCTAAACTTCCTGTTCCGGTTTCCTCCTCAAGTGTCACCATGGCCAACGATTCTAGTGCGCGGAACGCTGTCCCAGGTCTACTTAAACCTCGCTCCAAACTACACATTGGAGCCTTCAACGTACGTACCCTATGCCAAATCGGTCAACAGGCCTCCTTTGCTAAAACCCTAGAATCTCGTACCATTGATGTATGCTGTGTCTCCGAAACACGCATACAGGATCCCAGTGTGGTCATTCACTTGACCTCACCTCGCCAAAATGGACAGCCAACGAAATACACCCTCCGTGTATCTGGCGACCCGTTGGCTAGTTCTCGCGGACTTGCAGGTGTAGGCATAGCACTAAGTACAAGGGCAGAACAGGCACTATTAGAATGGATCCCCGTTAACAGTCGCCTGTGTGCTGTCCGGCTGAATGGCTCCGTAAGAACTCGGAAGGATAGGGACACACGTCGTTGCCTTTTCGTCGTTTCTGCCTACGCTCCCACCGACTGCAGCCATGATGAAATGAAAGATGACTTTTACAGAAAGCTCTCTGAGCTTCTTCAGAAAGCTAAGCACTCAGACATAGTACTCATAGCGGGTGACTTTAATGCCCAGATAGGCAGCTTAAATCAAACAGAAAGACATTTAGGTGGGTGTTTTAGTATTCCGGCTCAACGAACCGATAATGGTGATCGTCTGTTGCAACTATGCTCAGACAATCGTTTATTTTTAGCAAGCACTAATTTTAAACATAAGGAGAGACATCGTCTAACATGGCGACCACCTGCACCAAACCAACGATGGACTCAAATAGACCATATTGTCATCAGTCATCGTTGGAGAGGCTTGATAGAAGATTGTAGCTCGTATTGAAATACTTGTTTAGACTCTGATCACGCTTTAATACGAGCGCGCATTTGTCTGCGCCTCAATGGACGCAGGAAAAGTACACTAAGAAGACCCATTAGGATTGAACTGGAGGACGAGAAAGCCAAATGCGAATTCCAGAAACAACTGAGTTCACATCTAGGCAGTTCTGTAAACAAGACTGACACAGATGCTGCTTGGAAAGACATACGAACAGCTGTGGTAACAGCAGTTACATCTATTAGTCATTTAAACCATAGGGCTCCAAAAAACAAATGGATTTCTTCTAAGTCTATTTCACTGATGGATTCGCGTAAACTCATCCCATCAGGCTCTGAACATGACGAAGAGCGTAAAGAAATTAGATCTAGGTTAACTAAAAGTCTAAGGAACGATCGTGAGCAGTGGTGGGCAACGAAAGCAAAAGAGATGGAAAAGGCAGCGGCTGTAGGCAACACCAGGCAACTATTCAGACTAATAAAAGAAACCGGAATTAAGAAGTCAAGTGTAAGTGAGACAATCTCCGAAAAAGACGGAACCCTTATCTGCTCTCAACCCAAACGTTTAGAACGATGGGCGGAACACTTTAAGGAGCAGTTTAGCTGGCCTTCAGCTACTGCACAACTACCCACTATTCCTAGAAAACCTGAATGGAACATTGAAGTAGGCCCCCCGACCCTACTTGAAGTTCAAAAGGCTATAGGTAATCTGAAACGAGGAAGAGCAGCTGGTCCAGATGGATTGGCTCCAGAGGTCTTTAAATATGGTGGTCCGATTTTAGCGATTAGGTTGACTAATATTCTGGCTAAAATCTGGGAGACGGATGTAATCCCATCCGACTGGTCACAATCACTGATTGTCCCAATATATAAAAAGGGGTCAAAAACATCCTGCGATAACCATAGAGGGATTAGTCTGACCAACATAGCATCTAAAATACTAGCCTCAATAATTATCGGGCGCCTAACTAAGACTCGTGAACTGCAAACACGAGAAAATCAGGCTGGCTTCAGACCTGGTCGTGGCTGTATTGACCATATATTCACCATTCGTCAAGTTTTAGAGCACAGAGACGCTTATCGGCATCCGACAATGATAGTTTTTCTTGACTTGAAAGCAGCATTTGACTCTGTAGACCGAGAGGTCCTGTGGCAGTGTCTGTCATTGAAAGGTGTACCTAAGAAGTACATAAACCTTGTGAAGACTCTTTACTCGAACACTACCAGTCGAGTGAGAGCTTATGGCGAACTGTCATATGATTTTACAACCTCAAGTGGTGTCCGTCAAGGCTGTCCACTATCCCCATTTTTGTTTAACTTCATTATAGACCTGTTGCTGGAAATAACACTCTCTTCGACTGAATTTACAGGAATTGATCTCCTACCAGGGGGACCACTAAGCGACTTAGAATACGCAGATGACATAGTCCTGTTTGGTGAAGACGCTGGCAAAATGCAGAGTCTTCTGTTGGAACTCAGTAATAATGCCAGGATGTTTGGGATGCGATTCTCCCCATCCAAATGTAAATTGTTACTCCAGGACTGGCCTGCATCAACACCTGAACTAAGGATAGGGAGTGAAGTAGTCGAACGCGTTGACAACTTCACTTATCTTGGAAGTCTGATCAGCCCTAATGGGTTGGTGTCTGACGAAATCTCAGCACGGATTCGAAAAGCTCGTTTGGCTTTTGCCAACTTACGTCACCTATGGCGAAGACGAGATATCCGTCTATCAATTAAAGGACGAGTATACTGCGCAACAGTTCGCTCTGTTCTACTTTACGGTTGTGAAACATGGCCATTAAGAGTAGAAGATACTCGTAGGTTACTAGTATTTGACCACAGATGCCTTAGAAATATTGCACGCATCTGCTGGGATCACCGGGTAAGTAATAGTGAGGTTAGACGCAGGGTATTAGGGAACGATGGTAAATCAGTTGATGAGGTCATGAATCTTCATCGATTGAGATGGTTGGGCCATGTGTTACGTATGCCTGAACACCGATTACCACGACGCGCTATGATGACTAGTGTAGGGGATTGTTGGAAGAGAGTTAGGGGCGGCCAAACCAAAACATGGCATCAGTGTTTGAAGTCACTAACTTCTAGTCTGAGCCATGTTGTCAGATGCAGACTACCTGGTTGGGGTCCGCGTGACTATCGTAACCAATGGTTGGAGACTCTAGGTGACATGGCTGAGAATCGATCACAATGGCGTAGGTGTATACACTCTTTATCTTCCTTTAAACCTTGAGACTAAAATTGCTTCATATCTCTCTTCCTTCCTGTACTATATCCTTATATACAACCTATAATTTATATACTACTACCACCACTAAATTAATTACTTCTATGAACCCGGTGTTCATCTTGTGCTAACGAGGTATGGCAACTTGGACCGATGCATAAATGTGCCTGGTCCTACGTTGTAGCTGACTGACTGACTGACTTGTCAAGTGAAGTAGTGTCTGAAGAATATTAAGCAATAAGTAACTAGGTCGTAATAATCGAGACCTTGATAATTTTACAGGGAATCCACCTAATCCAAATTTTCAGGTACGCACGATTTACATTATAAGCTAGATATTCACTTGAGTTTTGTTCAAAAGCTTAACATCTTTATTGTTGCTACGGGAGAATCTCTCTTTAAAATGTTCAGTCCTTGACTAGTTTATGTTAGTTCATCATGAAGTAGTCGTTTTAAAATCCTTGTTTTTTCCCTTTGTTAGTCTAAAGAGAAGATGATGCGAGGCGATAGACGTGGATGTGTAAAGTTAAAAAATGCTCAAGTTGGGATTGATGATGAGGATGATAGTACATTCACCATTACTGTCGACCACAAAACATTTCACTTCCAAGGTAACCATATTAATTTATTCTCCGTCTTCGTTACGCTTTTTTGTTTGAAATTTCAAAATGCTCTGTGCAAAAGTGCCCAACTGATTGTTCTGTGGACATTGTGTTTGACCCGTACCAGATGGTCAGTCAGTCAGTCAGTCACAACGTAGAACTTCGTACGTACGTACACCAATTCGAGTTGCCATACCACATTATCACAGAGATGCAGTTTTCGATTTAAATCCCATGGTGGTAGAAGTAGTAAGAGTATAAGCATTATGTGAAAGATTGGGGTTTGAAGATGTTATTGAAGGAGTATAATCCAGTGAAACAAATTTGTAAAGAGAAAAAGGATAGGGACATGAAAAATTCAGAAGGTTAGAATTTGGTAGAACACAAAGAGTGAGTGCTCCTTCGCCATTGCAAACAATTTTAAGCCATGTCGTTCAAGGTCTCTAACCATCGATTTCTATAGATAAGAAACGGTGTAAACATCCAGGAACCTGAAAAATTAAAATATTAGTCAATGGTTGATAGGGTTTTTTGAGGGGATATATATGTGGTAGTTTTTCTCAGTACAGTATGGGAGTTGGAAGTAGATAACAACACTATCTGATTCGGAGGTGAATTTTACAACCTGCATGCTTTGACCATGAAAGCGTCTCTTCGTACAATTATGCTACCATGTTATGCAACCATGTTATCATGTTTTTTTATTAGCCTCTACTTACCGTTAAAACCTAAAGATGATCATTTAAAATGGGAAACTATAAGCACTAAACTACGTCATGATCATTATTTACTATTAAAGCTTGGAATAGATCATTCTTAATAAAGACAATTGTTATCATTATGATATACCCATGCCATACAAAATTATCGTTATGTATTGTAAAAGCTTTATACCCATTACTTTCGGCTCAACTAGGTAGGGTTTATTCCTGATCTCAAGCTTTTTTAGTTTTTCTCTGTACCTGTCCCAGAGGCGCCGTATTGTTCTTGGGATAAGCGGACATGATATTGATACGGAAGGAGGTTGTAAGATTTGATGACAATAAGCGTGTTTTCATTTGCTAGAACGAATAAATGAACTGCCGATCGATAAATAAGCAATAACACTGGGCGACTGAATGCTGAAGTTATAATATGATTTTGCATCCCCAAGTGGCGTTCAGCATGACTGTCCACTATCTCTATTTTTGTTCAAGTTCGTCACAGACCTACTGCTGTTTTAATTTATGGCTGCGAAACGTTGTTATTAGAAGTAGATAATGCTCGTAAGTTACTAGTATTTGATCGCAGATGCCTTAGAAATACTGCTCTCATCTTTTGGAATTACCGGGTAAGTATTATTGAGGTTAGACACAGGGTATTAGGGAATGATTGTAAATCAGTTGATGAGGTCATGAGTCTCCATCGACTGAGATGGTTGAACAACGTGTTTCGCATGCCCAACCACCATTACCACGACGCGCAATGTTGATTAGTGTTGAAGATGGTTGGACGAAAGTTAGGGGCGGCCAAACCAAAACGTAGTATCAGTCCTTGAAGTCACTAACTCCTGGTTTGAGCCATGCTGGTAGATGCAAACTATTTGGTTGGTGTCCGCGTAACTATCGTAACCAATGGTTGGCGACTCGGCTCAGAGTCGATCACAATGACGTAGGTGTATACACTCTTTGTCTCCCCTTAAACTATGAGGTTAAAATTACTTCATATCATTTTTTCTTCCTGTACTATATCCTTATATGAAATCTTTCTTTTATATATTACTACCGTTGAAGTAACTACGTCTAAATTTGGTGTTCCTCTTGTTGTGATGATGAGTTATGTCAGCTTGGACCGATGCATATATGTGCCTGGTCGTACGTTGTAGCTGACTGACTGATCAATATGAATGTTGATTTACAGTATTGGCTACAGTCAAACACTTCCCTTTATTTACTGTCACGCGCTTTCTTTTATTATTCATTGTCACTTGAAGGACTTGACCCCAGAGTGCGTGGTGATTAGTATTGCTTTGTTGTAGAAGGGATGAGTAAAAACTCTAGACCTAAGTTTTAATACCCTTGACTAGTAAAATGAAATACTGATAACGTCTAGTTGTTCATCTCTAAATAAAAGTACAACTCGAAACTAAGGATTTATATGACTGTCATGATAAGATATTCGCTTTCTAAGCTTGTATATTTATTGATGGGGGAAAATGTGGGTGTAAAGTTTTCATACAATTTGCAAACTTTTATTCGTGGATTATAACGCATTGTTACTCTAGTGAAAGTTAAACAGAGTAAAGACTGTATACTTTGCTGCTTAACTAAATCAGTGCTCATTTTACTAGTTTCCAAAATCTATTTCTATCATCTTTATCCAGTTATCCTAAAAATCGATCTTTTCTTCTTCTTCAGCTCGTAACTCAGATGAACGTCAAAAATGGCTAGACGCTTTACAAGAGGCTAGGGATTTACATACACAGAATTATGCTCTTCTTAATCAGGTTAGTGATCTCTCTCTCGTTATATAAACTGAAAAAAGCAACTTGTTAAACAGCAATATTAATGTCAATGTTTTCAAATATTTTGTATCCAACATAGGTTGTTACTAGTAGAAATATTGTTTTACTCAAAAGTGGCCTCATTGGCAATATATAGTGAGATAGGAATCTTGACATAATGGACAAAGCCTATTCTCTATTTAGTACTGTTGTAAAGTTTTTGTACTCTTGGCGAGCTAGTTTTTGAAACATAACTAGTAGGCTTATACTGTATGGATAAAATGTATAACTTAGTGATTCTTACTGAGTGCTGAATTTTTTTCTGGAAAAGCTTATATATTTTGAAGGTTTTGGGATTCATTTTTTCCGAACTGTTGTCTATTGAACATGTTACTGGTTTTAAGACTAAATACTCAGCTAATTCGTTGACTAAGTGACATGACCATCAATCATAGTGAATGTATTACTCATTATTTCTTCGTCTAACTTTTCCAGAAAATAATACGTCTTCAAGCGTGAAGAATTTTCATGTTAAACTGTTATTTAGGATTTTACGGAACTACAGGCTTATTAAACTATGAATGTTCTGATCTAATTCTCCTCCTCCATTTTTGCTTAAGTTCACACAGTTGGAAAAACAGTAAGTTGAATACGAACAGTTAATTATTCGGTACTAAGTTCAAAGCTCAGTGGTAACATTAACACCAATACAAGTGCATTTACCTCGGTTTTTGTCAGAATTTGGACAGTGTCGCAAATATCGGACGACGGGTAAATAGAAGACATTAGGTATTAAAACATTTTATTAAGTATCGCATTGAATGAAACAAAATACTTCAAGCGTTTTTTTTGATGAGTGGTGTTCAAACTGCAGGAGAATGATCAGACTGAAGTAAATTTAACTGACATTTTCTGAATACAACACTAAATCCATCGCGAAGCTACTGACTGTCACCATTAAACTGACTGTATATCTTATTGATGCTGAGTTGCCTAAGACAGATGTCATGTTTTCATGTTGTCATATATCTTAGATATGTTCATTACTTAACACAAATTTATTGTTACTTAAAGCCGATTATGTATTGGTTTCGAGTTCATGAGAAATTTATTTGACCACTTTAACATTGTTAACGTTTTAATCCCATTATGTATTGTTCATCTTTACAACTTGTTTCGCAGCCTGTATGACTCGCTTTATGCATAATGTTAGTTTTCAGCAACTAGTAATCATTTTGTACAACGTTTTATTTCATAAATATTTTGTAACTACATGTAAGTTATTACAATGTTCTCTGCTGACACCAAAATTTCTCTGAACATGAGATTTTTTATTACCTTCATTCTTTTTCAATGATCAATGTCACTCGATTTATATCATATTGAACATAATCATTTTTACTTTTTGATAGCTATTTTATAAAGCATTTATTTGTTCATGTTTACAGACTAACCGTTTACTGGAACATCCTTGCTGCCTTTCTGAATTTGACCGTCGTATCGTAGAGGCAGATGCTTTTTTACAAATTCTTATAGATCAACATGAGGTATATTTAGGAAACTATTCTTAATTTTCATGTTTTATTTGTTTGTCGAGTCCATTTTCTGTAGTCTTATGTAATCGTTAACATTTCAACCGTTTTAATCAGTTGAGCGTGACCAGAAAATTATAACTTATTCGATAAGCTGGGCTTTTAGGTGTTTATTTCAATGGATAGAGCGAGACACACAACCGTACGATGGGAACAGCATAAACACAGTGTTTCAATATGTTAGGGATGCTAGATCCTCAGTAATCACTTGGTAAACGTCTTGGTTTTGTAATTTTTATTTTGGAAATCTGAATTTCTCGTTTTCGAATCAAAAGCGTCCATTTTTACCTTCAGATTATATTTCACACGTGGAAGGACCCTAAATGTCAGTGGTTCGTTGCATCTTTTAATATGCTATTTTGTGACGTTTCTCAAGGACCTTTTTATACTGTGTATATATATGCTTGAGTTGTGTGCTTGGTTTGTTCGTGCTTCTGGCTGCCTGTGGAATATACCTTTCCCTCATCTAAACCTGGTCTTCTCCCTCTAATTAGCAGGTCTTGAACGCATCGGAATAGTTAGCTTGCCTTTTCGTTGTGTTGCTGATTCTTCGTTCCGTTAACCTATTTAGGTGATCTCGTAATCTCTTCAGACATAGCACAATATTTATATAATTTCTTTTTTCCTTGTTTTGTAATCCATCATCGTTGTTACTTTAGTTTCTTCTATTCTCTCTTTCTACTAATTTTGTTTGATACATCCCTTATTTCTTTAAGCTGCCCCCAAATGCCTTGGTACGGCCGAGAGTGGGGAGAGTCACCTCTCCCTCTCGAAATGTTCTCATGGCCAGCTAATATATAGCCTCTACCAGGGAAGTCCTACTCACTGCCTTCTCGTGGCGGGGGTGTTGTTTACGAAAGTGAGAGGACGAAAAGCGAATGTCCGGCGCTTTAACCGGGTTGTTGGACATGGAGGGTCCACCTAGGGGAGTTGGAAAACCCTGATTCCAAACCAGTGGTGCACATGGGCTCCAGGATCCTGAGGGAACAAATGGCGTACGAATCAATCGTTGATCACTGGCTACCATGGTACTGCATCTCCTCACGATGCTCCACTGCCTTGTGGATCAGACATTCAGGTCAAAGGCTCCGGGTGTGGCCCCCTAAGAAAACCACCTGCTTTAGTCTGGGCACCTGGGCAGTATCTCAGCCCTCACACAAATCGAATGAGATTTGTGAGGCGCATATATATCTGGTGCTTCCTTGTACCAATATTTATGTGTTTAAATAAATAAATAATAAATAATTATTTCTTTAAGAATATCAAATCAGTGAGATACAACCAGTAATCTTTGCTTCATCTCGTAAGCAAAATTGAGATAATCCTTTAAGTTTGAAATGATGTACAGAGAACCAAAGTTCACTAAACTAAATAATCTACCCATATGACACACTTCGAATAATTGTGTGCTACTCTAAAACAGAATAATTATTTAGTGAATGTTTAGACTGTTATAAAAAAGTGTGTTTCAGTAAGGGCTACAGACCACGTTCCAAAAGAATCAGTTGTTGTTCGTGTGCATGAGCACTAAATTGGCTCAGCTGAAGCTATTACAGGTCCTTAATTATTTATAACATGACTCTTAACAACGACATATTGTTTGGATACATACTTTTAAAACAGAGCACTATGTTTACTAGATCGACAGTATCTAAATTGTGATATTTATAATTAATTTCTAGCGCTTGCGATGTATTCACACTATTGTCAACATAAAGTTGTACCTAATTGTTTGAAATGCTCCACTTTTAACCAAAAGGGCCAGAATTGCGAGCCATGTAGTGTAATTAGGCCTCACACATTGAGCATGGCTTGGAGGTTAATATATGAATCTGTTCATCATTTCTATATATCAGTACAGCATATTTTGAGCAGCATGATTCTGCAGACCCAAACGTTTTTTTCAGAATCTCAAAAAAGCCTATACAACGACTTGAAGCTGTATATCAGGCTAGTATGTATTGAACTATCAAGATACTCTTATGTTTTTTTACGCTGCTCAAGTTTATTTGGTTCTTCATATTATTCATCAGTTTTTTTCAAACTGAGTAGTCGCTTCGCTAACTTGTATACCGATCTCCTCACTTGACTTCCATCTGATTAGTGTTTTTTTATTCTATCCAACAAGACAACTTGTTATTTGATTGGGAAGAAGTTATATAATGAATCGTTTAAGATGAATAACAATGGAGTTAAATTAATCGTAAACATTTATTTTAATTGTTTCTCGTTTTGTTAGTTATGTTCTTCAACCTATATTTGAAGGAGAAACTGAGTACTAATTTTAACTGTATTAGAGTTGAATTATATGCTTATCGTCCTATTACATCCTAATCAGCTTGCTAGTTATGGTATAATGGTTAAACGGATTCAGATTTCGATAGATGTTAGATTTTAGTTTCGGTTTTCCTTCCATACTAGTCTTTTCTTCGTAACTGCTTGGTATCACTAGGTCTAGTCCATTGCTTATATCTACCTTGTCATGTTACATGTAATGTAATTTTCTATAATCATATAATCTAGGTTTTATTTTGAAACAAATTTAATATTATTTTTCATGAAATTACATGTTGTTAAAATGACATGAATATTTGTGAGCCTTCGAGGAATAACTGATTGTGTTACAGCGATCCACTCAGAACCGTAGTCTATTTTTATTGTAAAAACAAAAGTATGATTGTAACTGGTATTTTTCTCAACTGTTTAACAGCACTTGAGTATAAAATAAGGTAGACTGCGTTATGGACATTGGAATAAACCGACATATATCAAAGCATTAAGAATGGTGATGACGTATGTTAAATTACATATTGAATTTAACAAATTTTTGTGATCCATTATTTTTTTACAACGTTTCACACTGACGGTTTAGATCATATGAATTGAACCAGGTGATACTTCGTCTCGTAAATGTTGTTGTAAATACGAACTTTGTTAAAGGTAAACAACGTTCGCAAATATTTCCCATACATTTAGTTTGCAATTTTTTGATAAATATTCAAAGCAGTGTAGTCGTGTTCATGCCTGGTGACGCTTTATACATAGACTACGCTCGTGAGAAAATTGTTTACCTGCATATCATTTGTAACGTACCAATCCGGCTAAATTGATCACCTACCAAGCTATTCCTTCTGTATTTTCTCATACCCAAACATTTTATCCTGCATCTATTTACCGTTACCTAGTCTTGTCTTTGTTTTTAAAAAGTCTAGCAGCTTAAACAATTACTGTGTGGTGCAAATTTTTCCATCATGTTTGCCTTTGTGTAGCTTTCTTTTGCTCAAATCTTTGTCTTTGTTTAAAACATGTGGTGGACAGTATAAATGGTTGGTTGGGTTAATGATTTTTTTGGTCGATCTTGAAGCCTAAGTTGTATGGTTTAAAATTAATTTGGCAAGCTGCCGTGAACTTATAGAATTTTGGTATTATGGCATTTCTGTCTTTTCTCTGCAGTTATATTAAAGTGCAACTGATTAGTTATTCAATCAGCCTAATTGTTGGTATATATATATATATATATATATATATATATATATATATATATATATATACAAAGTTTGCAATTGACTATAGATACTTACCCAACTTTTCTTTGTAAAGTTTCTTAAAAGTTAACTTAAGGTGTATAACTACATTTATACTGTTCGATTTCAGCAACTTGTCAGTCATATTCCATCGTCCGATGATTGTCGGCCGGAGATTATGGGTGCTGTCACTTTCCGGATGCAAGTAAGTTAAAGTCACATTAGTTCTTATTAAAGTGTTTTGTGGTAAGGCTTATGGAATTTAAAAATAGTGTTCACTACAAAGTGAAATAAACTGAAACGAAGGAGAAACGACAGTTGTTTCGTTGTGATTTGGGACTCATTATTAGTGCCCAACCACAACTTTGCACACGATAGTGTAGCGTCGTGCTCGTACGGCGAGGTATCCAATTATATTGTGGCGTAAATCTGATTCTGTCTATACTCGTATATAATAAATGACTTTATTCCGCGTTGGTGAATAACGGAATTAAATAAGTCAAATACGAGAATGGATTTAGAGTACATATATTTCCTACACTCATTGATCTGGCCAGGGAATCAGAACGATGAAGTAAATAGATGAGAGCAGAACATAAATGACATGCAGTGGAGATGGCGGAGAAGCCAACTCGATTTAAGCAAGCGTTAATCAATATTTATAGTCGGACAAAAATGAATGACAGACATGTGATGGATAAGGTACGAAGTGTGCATGCACATACTCTAATATAAAAAGTAGTCAAGGTTAATAAGCGAATAATTAACAAGATCAAAATATGACTCAATGTGTAGGTGAATTGGCTTGGCCAGCAACTAAAGTATATGGGCTTAACACAACAACCAATACTACAATAGCATCAATCTCGACAACATGTAGCTCCATTCAATTTACAATACTACTAAATCAAAATGCCTCACTAATACGTTTAATTTGCTAAACTGCTTAAGAAAACGCTACACCATTCATTCATATGAGAATTACTTGTCCTAAATATTTACACAATTTACCGGTTTATCTTTTGTTGTTACTTTGTAATATCATTATTTGTATTAGATGTTCAGTTCTCCTATTGTTGAACTTAATAACTGAGAGTTAGTTAACCTCCAACTGTATGTATTTATGAGACAATATTTATTCCTATTATTTTTATACCTAAACTTTTTTTCATTTTTGATTTTACGTATATTCCTTTTATTTTTTACTGTCAGTCTACAAAGGCCTGTGTACATGGGCATATCAACCATTACTGAGTTTCTTATTAAATTTTTCATATTACTACAGATAGTTGTACTATTTATGATTTAAATTATATATTTGCGTGGTTTCTGTGGTAACGACTATTTTGAACGTATATAATTTATAAGGACTTTCATATAATATGGTGTTGTTTAAAGAATGAAGCAAAAAATATCGTATAGATAATGATATTTTTATCCTTTTTCTTACAAGTTTAATTGATCAGTAAATTTTTTTAATTTTTTGACATAAGTTAGCTTGTGGAACGCATCTTATCACCATATCTTCGCTTCAATCCACTCTTCTACACCCAATGGAACCATATTTATGGAAGACAGGATGAGAAACTGATTGATTTCTGCCTAGTCTTGATGGACAAATTTAATTTTGTTCACCGGGGCGGTAGCTGTAACTGAATTAGTTGAGACCACTCAGTGGTTGTGGCGAAATAGGAACCTTCTTTGAATATGGGTTTCGTGTCTTAGATGGCACAGTGCTTAACTGACTGCCTGGAGGTCGCTACTTTGGATTCTTCCTTAGCTTATAACGTTTCGTAGTTTCAGTCACCGTCTACGTATACAAAATTCAGCTGATCAACTTCATGGTAGTTCACTTTGTATCATTTTATAGCTTTAAAAAACGGTCTATGCAAGTGCAATATATATGCTTAGGCTGCAGTGTTTTCAAGCATTATTAGCTTGTGGAACGACTGGGTGAACAATGTTGACTTTCAACGTCTGGTATTAAGAACGATGCCGTTGTGAGTGTTCGTGAACTTAGGTGGTTGGGACGTATGTTACATATGCTTATTCACCTCCTACCTCGACGTAGAGTGGTAACTGATGGAAGACTAGGTTGCAAAAATGCTAGAGGTAGCCCAGCCAAAATGTGGCATCAGTCCATGAAATCGTTGACTGTTGGTCTAAATCATGCCGGTAGATGCCGACTACCCGGATAGAGTCTACGTGGTTATCATAACAATTGGTTGAAGATGTTTAAAATGGCTTAGAATCAGTCACAATGACAAAAATGTATTTACTCTCTATCTTCTACTAAACTTTGAGTCGTAATGTTCTGCCATGCATATGTTGTTATTCTGTCTTTTTAAACTATATCGTGGTGCTTTAGTTTCTCTCATACTATCATTACCACTACTATTTTTCCAACTCATTCAACCTGTTACTTTTGTCTCGTTGAATGGATGAGGTGTGGATACTTTGAATGACACAGATTTGTGGTAGGCTGTACAGTGATTATGACTTACTGATTATCCAATCACAGCTGTCTCATCTCATTGTGAAATTATACAGTTTGCTCGTGTTTCATTTTTCGTCAAAAATCATAATTTGAGGTGTTCCGCACCTTGATCTCATACCGCGGTTGTGTTCCGTATTGCTTTCAATTTGTTTATGATTAATTTATTGCATGCCGTAATCATAAAATAAAGAAAAGCATTGTTTACTTAGTAAGTATTATAAAGATAACAAAGAATATGTGTAACACAGTTTATTTATTTATTTATTTAAACACATATATTGGTACAAAAGGGCACCAGATACATATGCGCCACACAAAATAATGAAAGTAGGAAGAGAAGGGATGAAAAGATAAGGCGGACTGAAATGTACAACCAGAAAGAAAGTTAGAACCACTCTTTATGTAGAAAGTAAAAGAAGGTTACAGCAGGATCGCCACTGGCTTCTATTCTGAGCCATATCTGATAACGTCTCTAGCCACTGTGTTGCACCATCTCTCGGACCCCAGCTAGGGAGTCGTGAAGGACCAACAGAAGCTAGCCCTTTCCAGCTTTCTTTCATGCCACGACACCATGTCATACACTGACCACCTCTCCGCTTTTTCCAACCAGTTCCAGGGTCGGCAAATAATGCACGACGTGGAAGTCTCTGGGACGACATTCGTAAAACATGTCCAAGCCACCGAAGTCGGTGTTTCAAGATAGTGACACCAATTGAATTATCGTCTCTGCGCCCGAACACACGATACCGAACCTCTGCATTACTAACATGATGTTGCCACTGTATGTCAGCAATCCTTCGGAGACAACGATGATCGAACACAGAGAGACGTCTAACATCCTCAACTCGGAGAGGTCAGGTTTCACAAGCATAGAGTAAAACTACTCTCACCGACGCGTTGTAAATCCGACCTTTTACAGCCAGACTAACATCACGAAGGCGTCAAAGATGATCCAGATTGGCATAAGCCGCTCTGGCTTTCATTATACGTGCATCAATCTCATCACTCACGCTACCACCAGCACTTATATAGCTACCTAGATACACAAACTTCTCAACTACTTCAATCTGCTCACCATCCAGGGTGAGTACAGGATGAGTATCCTGCAAGTCTTGTAGGAGTACTTTGCACTTGGAGGGTGCAAAGCACATGCCGTTCCTGCGGACACTGATTGCCAACTGATTAAGTGCGGATTGCATGCCTTGGGCATTATCGCACAGTAAGACAATGTCATCCGCATACTCGAGGTCGAGAAGTCGTTCTCCAGGCAACATATCCATACCGCCATTACTTACATCCATCAGAGCTGTTTCCAGGATGTCATCGATGGCAAAGTTGAAGAGGAATGGTGAGATCGGGCAACCCTGCCTAACCCCATTGCTCGAATGGAACAAGGGAGAAAGGTGGTTGTATGCCCTCACTCTGCCTGAGGTGTTCGTATACAGGGCCTTTAAGATGTTAATGAACTTCTCAGGCACACCCTTCTTCAACAGACAATCCCAGAGAACAGTCCTGTCCAACGAATCGAAGTCAGTCCTGATATCAAGAAACACTACGATTGTTGGCCTGCGATAAGGATGACGGTGCTGTAACATTTCGCGGAGGGTGAAGATATAATCAACGCACCCTCGACCAGAACGAAAACCAGCCTGCTCCTCGCGAGTCAATCGTTCTCGGGTTTTAAACAACCTACGAAGAATGACAGAAGTCAATAGTTTGGACGCGATCGAAAGTAGACTTATCCCCCGATAGTTATTGCAGGAACAACGTGAACCCTTTTTAAAGATAGGGACGACTATCGACTCATTCCATGATGTTGAAACACTTTTTTGCTCCCAAACCTTTGTAAAAAACTCAGTCAAGTCCTTAGTCAGAAAGTTGCCATCACCTTTAACAAGAGCCGGAGGTAAGTCATCTGGGCCCGGTGATTTGTAGCGCTTCAAGAGTTGGAGTTATTTGCGGACTTCCGCCTCGTTTGGTGGATCAGTCGTCACCGGCCATGGGGGGCAGGACAAAATGGTTGATGTTGCCGGAGCAGCAGGCCGGTTGAACTGCTCTTCGAAAAATTGCGCCCATCGTCCAAGACGTCGAGAGATGTTAGTGATTGGCATCCCGTCATCCTCGTAGATTGTTTCACTCACACCAGACTTCTTGTTGCCAGTGGCTCGGATGAGTTGGAAGAGCTTCCGGCAGTTACCAGATGCAGCTGCTGCTTCCATCTCATTAGCACGCTCCGACCACCAGGCTTCTCGGTCCTTACTCAAGCTTTGCCTAATTTCACTACGTAACAGCCTTCGTTTGTGGTCAAATGAAATGACGCATTCTACTGACTGCTTGCACAAGTTGTTGGGGATGTTAGGTCCCCGGAACTCACTTGGTATATGCCTTTGTAATCTTACTTTAAAACTTTGAATTTCTTGTTTTCTCGCCAAAAGCACTCATTTTCACCTACTAGGGAGGATCTTTCCAAATTTATTTCACTGAATTATACCTCATGAATAATATCTTCAAACCATAATCTTCCGGATTACTGCTTATACTCTTACTACCTCTACCACAATGGGATTTGAATCAGCAACTGCATCTCTGTGCTGATGTGTTATGGCAGCTGGAACTGATGAACTTACGTACGAAGTGTTACGTTGTGACTGACTAACTGTATTTTTGGTTCTTTGCTTCTATCAAATAACTGGTCTTTAAATAATTAT